CTTGAGACATGCCGCGCATCACATTCGCCACTAAACTGTACAGTGGCTCAAGTTCGCTTGGCATCTTTTTGCACCTGCTGGCTCGGTGCACAAGTCGGAGTGCCGTAGCACAAAGTGCGTTCGCACACAAAACTCTCTGGCCTCCACCCGTTGTTTCCACCCATCTAGGCAGTCTCAAGTCACACCACGGCAGAGGAAAACGTGCCAAGAGTGAGGCGGTGAGCCCCTCAGCAGTTTGACCTTCGAGAAAAGGCAGCTGTATATACCCGCCCAGTCAAGCAGATAGTCGCGGTCTGCTTTTGAGAGAGAGGGCAAAAACTGGAGGGCCGACACTTCTTGCACGTATATCTCCATGATTTTGGAGGTAAGCCAGCGGCCTCGTCTGCGGACCAGTTCGCTATCTTCTGAAACCATCATAAACCATGTAGCTCCGCCTGCTCGTAAGCTGCCCAGGTCCAGCGTCTTCGGGAAAGGCGCCGGCAATTTTTCAAGACGCAGGGCGCCCAGAAGCCTTTGGAACCTGTTCCGAAAACTTTGGTCCGACATAGGCCAAAGCCTATCTCCTGGAGCTAGGGCAGCAAAAGCAAACTCGATGATCTCGATCAGGTCTGGGTGGTCAACCTTCAAGGACTGGTGTCTGGCAGCTTTATAACGCGTCTTCGGTTCAGGGATGGTCAAGGTGACCCATGTTGTAGAATACCTGACGTCCGAAGGAAGAAAAAGGCAGTGCCGAAAGGCATGCAGAACTTCTCCTGCCCGTGCCATTCCTCCCCAAGCCAAAGCCAGACAGCCCGCAAAAAGGGGCCATCCCCAGAAGAAACAGATCGAAACCATCGCTAGCAGTACCTGCCAGGGCATAGCAACATGATGATGATGAGGTTCATTTCTCATCCAAGCGAAGGCAACGTCCCAGGCCGGCTGGAGAAGCCGACGGATCTTAGGGAAGAGCGAAGAAGCAGCGTTCACAGTCTCACTGTAGTGACCGTACGGCCTTCCTGCAGCGTAGAGGGCCCTGCCATATCTCGCCAAAACAATATTGACAAAATCAATGTCCAGGACCCCTTCTGCAAAGACTGTGTCAGGGCCGATGCCCTGACCCTCAAGCCACTTCTTAAATTCCTCCCAGAGCTTGTCCCGCAAACGCTGGGTTTGCTTCTCAACAGGCCTGCCCAGAGGCAAAGGCAGTCCTTCACGAGCGGCCTTCCTCAGTTTGTCAGCAGAGTTCCGCGGCTGCAGCATACCATGGCTCAGAACGGCTAGGCAAAAGAACCAAACCTTAAAGACCCTGAAAGAGCCAAAGGAAGGGCCTTCACCAGGGTAGCCCAAAGTAGAGTCGAAAGGCAGGCGAGCACGGAAAAGGGACCGCCAGGAAAACGAGGAGAAGCGGCGCCCCGATTCGAGAAGAGGCGAAGCGGGAGAGGAGACCCGCAGAACCAATCGCACCCAATTGGAAGCCCACCTCCGAAGACGAGGCATGCGCTGGAGGTCAACCAGCCGAGCACCAGAAATCCAGTCCTCATCAAGGCTAGCCGAAGGCTCAGGAGGGTCAGTATCTCGAGAAGGCCCATCAGCCGGCATAAGGCGTGTAGGACAGAAAGGGAAGGCCGCATACAGATTAAATCCAACCTGGACAGCGGCGATCCTGCACAGCACCCGGAAAAGACCATGAGAAGAGGACCTGCCCTTTGAGATGGCGCACCGGGCAACGTTGCTGTCGAGCAATGACACAACACGTGCAGAATCATGCTCAAGGGCAAGGGCCCGCAGAAGCCGGAACACCGCACTGGACTCAAGGATATTAATGTGCACTGGGCGCGGCCAGCGCCAAACAGCCCTGGTGCTCCACGAGCTGGCCACCGCAACATGGTTCACAAGGGGAGTCTCAAGGCCTTCGACACACAGATCCTCGGCAAAGATGCCCGCAAAGCGAGCCTCAAGGGCAGTAGAAAAAGCCGGCCGGAGCTCCTGACACAACCGCTCATAAGTCCAAGGCCCGTCCATAGCACCACGCTCGGGCGAGGAAAGGTGGCACAGCAAGCCAATCCAAGACCTTCCCCCGAAAGACACCTGGAAAAGGTCCTTCCTGTTGCGGGTGGCCTTCCAAGCAGGGAGGGCAGACATCAGAGAGGAACCCGGCTGCACAAGGACGGCGGGAACGCCAACAAGGGCAGCATGTCTCAAGAGGAAAAGCGCGGCAGAGGCACGGCGATTGTTCATGGAGGCGTTTCGAGACTCGCGAGGCCCACCTGGGCGACCAGAGGATCGCAAAGAAGGCTTTCGCCAAACAGAGAAATCCGCAACAGGAGGCCTCACAGCAAGGGAGTCAAGAAGCCCTTGCTCGAGAAGGTAAGAGATCCATGACACAAAGTGGCAGGAGCCGAGGTCATACTCAGGAGAAGCCCCTAATCCAAGAGGGGGCCCGACAGTCCAACCGTCAGCGGCCAGAAGCTCAGAGAGGGCTCCCACATGACAGCCTACTTCCAAGAAGTGATAACGTAGAGCCCGGGGCCGACCAACCGAGGGAGTCCCAAGGGCGTGCGAGGGGCTATCTGAGCTCTCAGGACCACAGTCCTCCTCAAACTCGGGATCGTATCGCCTTAGCAAAGCCTCGGAACGAGAAAGCATGCGAGAGTAGCCTCCTTTCCTGTCGGCTCCGAGCCAAAGGGCCTTCAAAGCGTCCGGGTCACAGGGAGCCTCAACGATCGCGGCAGCCTCCTCTGAGGAGTCAGTGGCAAAAACGGCAGGGAAGAGCTGAGCCGACAGATCGGAACAGCAGAGGGGAGCGAGGGCGCTCACAACCACAAGCTCATCAGCCACAGATCGAGGCAAAGGCAGGATCTTTGGATCCCCCGAAGTGACACTAGCACCCCGGACCAGCCCGAAACTTTTCGAGAAGATAGACATCAAAGGACGCCTGTAGAGCAGGACCGAGGTCCAGCCGCCCATGAGGCAAAGATGCAAGCAATCACTGGTCACAGGCGATGCACTGAGCACAAGAGACACAGCGGCTAAAGAGAGGCGCTTTGCCCGAGGGGCCCCAGCAAGAATGAAGCCATTGGCCAAGGCCACATCCGAAGAGTCCAGCTCAGCCCCCCCGACTTTGGCAAGCCGGCTCTCGACAACGTCCTTCTCCCTTGAGCCGATCAGGTTCCAGTCATCATAGACCTCGCGGGCCTTAGCAAGACACTGTCCCGACAATGAGGCTCCAGAGTCGGAAGCGGCTGCCTCCTCGCAGGAGATGCTGAAATAATCATCAATTATCAGCCCTTCAATGCAGGAGGAGAACAAGGGGAAAGGCGCGTCGGCCCTTAACTCCGAAGCACGGCTCAACAAACCCCGAGAGGCGAGAAGAGACCGATGGGCAGCCGTTGCTACCTCAACCCCTAAGTGATCACCCTGGAAGATGGCGGTGAACAGTGCAAAGGCACGGCAACCATCCCTATCCCTCGGAGGCACAAGGAGAGAACGGTTCTCAGAAGTATGGCCTCGCTTGCTGAGCCCCGCAGCGCAAAGCCTTGCCAACGCCTGGGAACCTTCAAGGTCGCGGAGCCTCAGGGGAGGATAGAGGCAGTTTTTCAGGGATTTCCGGTGGCTTACTCGGAGCTGCGTATAAAAATCTTTTCTATCAGCGACACAAATGCTCAACCGCTGAGAGGGGAGCGGCATAAGCCCAAGGAGATGAGCACCGGAGGGCAACCCCGAAGAGGGCCCCCGGAGAGGAAGTTCGGCATAGTTCCTCCCCCTGCGATCCCCGATCATCCGTGCAACCCCTGGGGCCTTAAAGCAATTGAAGACTCTGACGAACTCCCTTTCGCTCCCAAGCTGGGCTTCCCCATCATGAAGCTCCAAGAGCCCTTGCCGATCCCAAAGCCAAGCAAGCTCCAAAGTGGAGGCATAGCTTTCACGTGTCACGTCAGGATATTCGCCAACGGGAGCAGGAGCGCCGTGCCAAATGCAGTCAGGCTCGAGAAAGGGAAGAGCCAAGTCATCAGGGAGAAAAGGCACCGGATCGAAGTTCCCCGTGCCAGTGAGCTTGAGCTCGGAGGGTTTCAGGGAATAGTAGGGCCGAAGAGGGCCCTCCCCGAGAGGGGGCGACTGCATACCAGGAAAAGCCTGGCTGTAGGGGTCCGCGTTTGGGCCCGTCACCGTGAGGAAGTCCGAAAGATCTCCCAAGCGTGCAAGTAATTCAGCATTTCGGCGCCCGGCCGAGGGAATAGAAAATTCCTCGGTCGCACCGCACACCCTAACGAACCTGAAAATGAGGTCGAGGGCCCGCTCCTGAGAGGAGTTGGGCCGCCTCCGCAGCAAGCCAAGGCTAGGGGGAGCCATGCCATGGTGGAGGTAGTTCAAGGCCATGGTGGCGACGTGAGCTGCCCTTTTCAGGGCGATCTTACCTCTGGCTCGAGACCCCAGCTGCGGGTCGCAGTGCCTGAAGACACCTGGGAAGGGCACCGGCAATGGAAACAGGGCATGTGCAGGGGCAGAACGGCTGCCCAACTGAAGGTGCAAAGTATTTCGAAGAAAGCTTGAAAAAGGGGCCCTCGCCCTCAGAATGAGGGGGGTCAGCTTCATAGCCCAGGAACGAAAGGAAACGGTCCTTTCCACATCTGGGGCAGGGCGTTTGCCTGCAGAGGGAGTCTCAACCACAGAGGGAGCCTCAGCAAAAGCATGCGATGAATTTTTGTTGGCAAAGGTGCCCCCAGAGTTCAAAGGGGAGGACTCGAAAGGTACAGAGGCCTGAGGGCCAGGAACACGAAGGCCATGGGAGGCGACGTGGGAAGCAGAGGGGCCCTGAAACAGGGAGTTGCAGCCCTCTACTTCGGAAACGTGGTGCAAGGATTGGCCTGGACCTGGAAGTCCCGGTGGGGGTCGGAAGGAAGAGCCTGGAGGTGGAGACTTGGCGGGGCCCTGACACAGGGAGTTGCTGCCCACACAAGCCCGGGAAGAACCACCTAGACCCAAAGACCCATGAAGCACCAAAGGAGCAAAGGGACGTTCAGTCACGTAGCCGGCTGCTTGGGGCGGCGAGGAAAGCGAGGCTTCCTCTTCGGGGGCACCTCGTCCTGGGCCTCCTGGCTGGAAGCAGCGGCCTTCGAGGGGCTCTGTGCGAGCTCCTTCCTGCGGGCCTGCAAAGCATCGATTTCTTTGATAAAGGCAAGCGTCGTTGTGCCCCACGAAGGGGGGCATAGAGGCGCAAATGCCTTGAGGCGCGCACTGTTGCCTGCAGCAGCCCTCCCGGAGAAAAGTTGAGGAGGAGGCTCCTCCAGTAGTGTAAGGAGGTACGCAACACTCCAGCTGCCCGAGTCCAGCGCACTCTGCTCCTGGGCTACTAGGGCCAAGGCCAACATCTCCTGTGCCCCTTCGTGGTCGTTCGCCAACATGCAGTCCCCGATGTGGGCAAGAACCCACATCATCATTCCGGCCTCCCGCTGACCTGCGAAGCCTCCGTAGCGCTCCACGTAGCGGGTAAAGAGGGGACCCGCGTCCCTCATGGACTCCAAGGTCCGAGGAAGAGGGCTTGTTGGGGACATCCGTCTGAAAGCCGCCTGCGACACTTGAAGGAGGAAGTCTCCCGATCTTGCCGCGAGTTCCGCTTGTAGTCTTTCTCGTTTCGCGGCGCCACGCGTACCAAGCGCGGTTCCCTGACTCAGGGCCGAGGAATCGACGCCGCCCTCTGCCAGATGGCCCACCAGCATAGTAAGGGCCTGACTCTGCTGCAAGATGGCATCCGCCAGCCGCCCTTGAGGAGCAGGAGCCTCGAGGTCCTCCTCTGTATCCACCGGTACCTGCGCCGCGGTGGCAGCCGGAGCGCCCAAACCGATCTGAGCCCCAGGTTCCCGGAGGCGAGGGGGCGGGCCCAAGGAGCTGCCCAGAGCCCTCAGCATCTGCTCCGAATGCGTCTTTGGCCTGGGAGGAACAAACCTCTGCTGATATGCTTTCGGAGCCACCTCGGGAACAGCCGTGAACTTCTGCTCCAAAGAACTCTGGCGATCGGCCAGCTGTTGAAGCTGAGCAGTCAGATTCGGGAGGGCCTCGGCAATCCCCACAATCTGGGAGGCAAGCTGGGCAGTGGTCACCCGTTTTGCACGACCGGCAGCCTGAGCCCTTTGAGGAGGAGGTGGCTCTTCCGAGGCACTGTAGAAGGCTAATCTTTCTCCCGTCTCCGAAGACAGCCAAGCCTTCGATGCGGTCACCAGGGCACTGTGCTGAGGCACCACGGTCGGAAGGTCGGCAAGGAAAGGCTGGCTCTCCACAGGGTCTGTCACCGGATCGAGCTTCCTCAGGTAGGTTGCCATCTCCTCCTTCATATCCACCACCAGGCAGGGCACTTGGTGAGGGGAGTCTTGCATTATTCCGGCCTCGTCTTCCTCGAGGCCGGCGACGGTGGTGGTGAAAGAGGGTCCCACCTGTGCATCCTGACCGCCCTGGTTGCCTCTGGCAAGTAGCTCCTCCGAGAGGGTGCCAATGGGCAAAGCCAAAAGGAACCCTGAAGAATGGGCCAAGACGGGCAAGGCAAGGAAATCTGTCTGCTCCTCCTCCGAAGCTGCAATGCGAGAGAAGACCAGGCCCCCTAGTTCCAAAGGGTCCTCCAAAAATTCCCTGACCAGCTCCATCACGAGAAGGAAGGGAAAGGCACGGCGGCCCCGGCACAGTAAATGCGGGCTTCTCCTTCGGTAGGGAAGCCGTGACACACAGTATCAGTGTGCTCAATAGCACCCACAGCAGCCTTAAAGGCACGGAAGCCCCGAAAGACCGCGGGCTTTGCAAGGGCAGGGCTCCGAAGAACCACGTAGATCGAAGACCGAACGGCGATCTTCTCAGAGGCCTCAGGATAGTCCAAGCGGCCTGACAAGACCTCTCCGGCCCAAAATCCGGCCTTCCAAGCACGAAGGGCACGTGACTCCCGTGAGGCAAGTGGCAGGCTACGGGCGAGGAAGAGGACGTCGTTGGGAAGAGGAGGAGGAGAGGCTGGGCACACAGGTCCTAGGGGTAGGGCCTCGGCTGAGGAACTTAGGGCACCCGAAGGGGGAGAGGAACTAGCCACAGCCGGTTCGGAAGCAACCACTTCCCACTCACTAGCCTCGTCTTCCAAGGAGAGGCGGGCAATGGCAGATGCAAGGGACTGGGCGGCTGCCGCGAGATCCCTTCTCAAATCACTCATGCAAGTACGCCCGGAGGCGCAAAGAACGGGGCCGAGGCAAATCAACCTCTGGTTCAACGGCCCGCTGGGCAGAAGTCGAAAGGAGAGTGGCCCGAAACACAAAAAGAGTGATGAGAGCCCCAGCCAAGGACCCAGCAAAGAAAGCCAGCCCCAAAACCACAAGAGAGCCGCTACAATGAGAAGGGCACGCCAAGCCCCACCAACCTGAAGTCGAACCCGAAAGAATGAAGTTCGCAACAGCTGAGGCCTGAGCCAACATGCTTGAGACATGCCGGGCATCACATTCGCCACTAAACTGTACAAATCCTCAACCCCTTATAAACCCTAAACCCCAAACCCCAAATCCAGAACTTCACGAACCAAAGCATCGGATGAAGGCCGCCAGGGAGGTCAATGATGGGAGGACCAAACCTTTCCTGCAAAGCCGTGAGTTCCGTCAGGCTGCGTGCATGTATGAAAGCAGAAACGAGGTGTCATGTCAACATGAACCTAGAAGGACCTACCTACCTGCCTACCCACATACATACGTACATACATACGTATACACTACATATACACTACATATAGACACTATATACACTATATGTATATATATATACACCATATACACTACATATACACCACATATAGACAAAAAATACACTACCCATACACGCCATATACACTCTATATGTATACACGGGCTCTGGGAGTTTGAAGATAGGATTGGAGACCTGGGAGCTTGAAGTGAACTCAGTGACTGACACAATCAAAGCCGTGTTCTGAAATAAGGTTAAGGGTTCGGGCTTTAGGGCTTAGGGCTTTAGGGTTTTAGGGTTTAGGGTTTAGGGTTTTAGGGTTTAGGGTTTAGGGTTTTAAGGTTTTAAGGTTTAAGGGTTAGGGTAAACAGGAAATGCAGAGTTGCTGCTGGCTTGCAGGCCGTACAGTAAGAAGCCCTTACATTGACCCTTATGGTGATCCTTATAATGGTTGCCCACATAGCAGGGGCTCTACTCAAAAACAGGAGGTTCTCAACGAACCATTCGGTCGCTGCCGGGCGCCGGGAACAGGGAAAGGTCCTACGTCCAATGTTCAAACGACAGAAGACAAAGCCCTGGTCAAACAAGAAGCCCCGAACAATACTGCAAGCTACTACAGCTACTATGGCATGGTCACTAAAAGGGTCAAAACCATAATTACTGTATTACTTACCACAATGATTACTCATGACTACTATAACGGAAACTTTAAGAATTCCTTCTAAGTCCAGTGCCCAGAACCTCAAAGTTCCAAGAAACAGATTAAGTCAAGACCTCGGCCCTGCAAAGAGCCAAGAATATCTCCAAAACGGTTTATGGGTTGGGTGGGGTTTAGGAACATGTGTGCTAAGCCTGGCTTACCACAGATCTCAGACGCAGATCAGAGATGGCACGTCATATCTATGCCCGTATATACACTTCGGGAAACTCTAGACGCACGTAGGGGTGTCTCCGGTTGACACGCCATGCTGCCATGTGCATGTATGCACTTGTTCCACGTGATTGAATGGATGCATACACGCATACAGAAGAAATACGTACATGCATAGGTACACACGGACATACATACGGACTCACAGACAGACCTACATGCATGTGTCCGGTGGTGCCGGGCATTTGCAAAACCCCGGTGCATGTGTGCAAACAAATGCATGCTTGCAAAAGAAGACACAGACTGAGGCATAAACAGACAGAAGCACGGGTGGAGAGACAAAGAGATAAATATAACATACCCATGCAGACAGATCGACATCGACAGGTTCATGATGTGCCTTTACTTCTGCACAGGCAAATTGCGTCGCACGTGTGAGCGTGGTGTAGTATAGTCGCTAAGGGAAAGAGCGAAAGTGACGAAGACAGCGAGAGAAATGGAGAGATGGAAAGAGCTTCATGTATACACATGCATACATGTGTACGCATGTGCATATGCTTTGGCCTGCAAACATACACCAAGCAATAGCAATTAAATGCATGCATTTGCAGATACAGCGAAAGCACAAAAGCACACACACACACATCAGTGTGTCAAAATATAATATTTACCCATACATATGCCACCCTTGCATGCGTACAAGCAGACTATACGGAGCCAGGGCGCTATCAAGGCTGGCTCCCAGTTCTTTCGGAAATCGAGGTCCGCGGCCATCATGGATATCATGAGCGCCTGCTTCTTTGCACGAACCAGGCATAACACAGAGAGTGAGCAGGTTCAAAAGTGTGTGAATCAAACCGCAAAGCCTCGGACCCTCAGTCAAAACACCGGTTTTGGCATTACCCAGCAATCGAAACTCCTGAAACTACAGGCACCCGGTGTCATGCTGAAGGTTCCAACCTAATGACCTTTAGCACTGAATTCCCACACGTCAACTCGGCTCTCAATGGTTTTGGGTTTACCCCACGACTGATCAAGGTCCAAGCTGCAAGAAGCAGCCCTGTTTTGCATTTGCAGGCTACATTACCCCAAAAAAACGGATGCCGCGTAACACATGGCAAAAACTACAGAGAAATCCGGTGTCGACAGATTCATTCATGCTGCTAGACATAGACTCATTCATTACGAGTAACGATTGTCCAATAAGTTGTACTATGCCGTATTTCGTCCACGTTCTGTCTTTCGCATGTTGTGTGAAACCATCCGGACAGCTTGTCGGATATGAACAACTTTGACACGTCTGCTGCCTGACTACGCTTGTATGTTCCTGCAAGTATTAGACGGTCAACGGATGAGGTCTCGGTTCTCGCTTGACGGGCTTCGTGAGGGCGGGCCCTGCCCTGGTGTCAGCCCAGAGAAACTCCAAAAAAGTGCATGTCTCCGCCTTCATTCGGCGAATGAAATCGGGGTTTCCGAAAATTGGGGGTACCTTATTTTGGGGTCCTCGTAAGAAGAAGGATCCTACTATTTAGGGTACTGTATTAGGGTCCCCTGTTTTCGGAAACTCCCAAATGAACAACCGGTGTACACATACCCGAAACTCCTCCAACGACACCTATATCTTACCCAAATCCCCCGGCGCAATATACCTGTCTATTGAATGCCAGCTTCCTTCAAGACTCTGGGTACCTCAAGCCAAACCCGGAGCAGGAACAAGTGCAGATGCCATAAACCCTAAACCCTAAACCCAATCATGCGGCTGAGGCGCTGGATTGTAAAAGCTCCATGGTCCGAGAATTCCCACACAGATCTGAAGAGCAGAGTTGGGGGAGTTTCCGAAAATTAGGGGTACCTTATTCAGAAGTCCTTATAATAAGCCTCCTACTATTTCGGGTACTATGTTCGGGTCCCAGTTTGTTTGGGGGTTCGCAGGTTCCAACTGATCCTCAAAGAGCCATGGCTATCCCCAAAATGACCAAGCTCGAATCCCACATCCTACTAGAAGGTGCAGTGCCAGTACTACCAGTGCGCGTGTTGCCTCAAGGCCAACGGTAGCACCACCGCAACGACGACTACTTTTCCCAGACTGCACTCCTGCTCCTTCTCCTGCTGCTGCTATGACTATGACCACTACGACTATCACCACTACCACCACGACTGCTCCTACTTCTACTACTACTACTACTGCTACTACTACTACTACTACCACCACTCCTCCTCCTCGTAGTCCTGCTCATCCTCCTAATTCTACTCCCACTCTTACCCCCACTCGTGCTCCTTTCCTTCCACCAGCGAAACGATTACGACGCTGTTGCATGCCATGAACTGCGAGGTCGAACTAATAATACTACTGCAGTGCCAGACGCCATAGCACTTTCAAGCAGCGGTGCGCCAGCACATGTACTAGTGCTAGTTCATGTCGGGAAACCGGTGCTGCATGGTCAAAGTATCATCGACTATGGTTCAAGTCGGGGTTTACCCGAAACCCTGAACTAAACCCTAAACCCTAAATCTAAGTCGAGGTGGTTGAGGGGTCAAGGTTTTCGGAGCGACCTCGGCAGACACAGGCACAAGCCACTGAGACGCCCATGCCAGAAGCAAGCGCCATGGCCCCATGTGTGCTCTGAGTGTTTAGGGCTATGGTTTAGGGAATAATTAGAATAGGGTTTATGATACAATAATCATATTTATAGTAATAAGGAACCCCCAAAATAGTACTTCAGACGGGTTCTGGGTAGGAGATTGTGGGCTACGGGTACTGGTACTGTTCACGGAGTCACTCGACAGAACTTGACGTCTTCTGCACTGTCATGTCACCACTAGCCATAAGTCAAATGTCGATGACGCTGGAAACATCACCAGGTCACGTACTCTTTCTGAACGCACCGCGCTTGGGAGCCGGCGCTGTGCATATGGGATCTTGTTCAGGGTCAACTGTCACTTGCACAAGTTTTAGGATTCAAGATGTACGGGGATTGTGGCTTGGGCTTCTGCGGTTTAGGTGCAGGATGCCTGCAGACGAATCTCCTTCTGGACATACTGACACTCTCGTACACCGGACTGTACTGGAAAAACATCAATTCTGAACATGCACACTCCTATGCTTCGGAATCCGTACAGACAAACACACTATGGAAAAACGTAACAAACGCTGCCTTCAGAACCCAACAGCTATCTCTCTCAAACTGCATCAGAATCTTACAAACCTTTCTCGAAACTCCTCGCCAGCGCCTACCAGCTTTCAACTTTTGCGGCTCACACTGCGTCTTGTTGCATCAGCATCAGCCAAGTGTTGAAAGGCCGCCTCAAAACTGCGGGGCCCAAAAGACTGCATGTCATTATCACTGCATTCATACTTGGAGGGGCGGTGGACTTAGTAAGTAGGTCATAAGTAGGGTTATAATTGGGGTCCACCGCTGAGGAATAGCGCAAGGCCCTGCCACTGTGCTTTGGAAGCTGCATGCTGCCGACGAGAGCTTAAGCACTGCCTGACTCGATTCTAGTAACCGGGTTTAGGGTTTAGGGTGAGAAAGCCAGACACGCTGCCACCTTTTGTGCCACGCCGCCGAGCAGGTAATTGATTGAGTCTTGCCGCGAACTGTGTACATCACAAAAGTTGAGGCCAATCTTGGCAAGGTTCCAGGTCCCCTAAACTGGAGCTTAAGAGACCAAATCTGATTGGCTCAAAAACTGTAGCAATAAGGGACATATGTGAGTCGAAACGGTGACCGCTACTGCTACATGCTGGAAGATCAGGCGCTGTGACACGGCGGAGTCTTAAAGATCCTTGTTTTCCAGCTTCTCCTCGATCGGATTGGAACAACCTGACCAGAGGTAGGCACAGAGCGTTCTACGCAAGTTCTGAAACATTAGAATAGCTCTGCCCCCGGCCTCTGCATCAGAGGATGTCTTCATTAGGCCCAAAGACCTCAAAATTGAGAGCTGACCTGCACCACAGCAAATTGAAGCGGCATGATGCAAGCCTGGGCTGTGTACTCAAGCTCTGTTACTGCAGGGCCTCTCCACGCCCATCTGCAGCAGCTGCTGGCCAATGGACTTCATGAACGGGATGGGGCCACCTGCAGTGCCCGGTTCAGTTCCCCGTACACTCCACAAGGGCAGGAACTAGAAAGACGCGCAAAACCAAGAAAGTATGCATCTTCAAAGCGTTGATTTTAGATGAGCTGCAGAAGTAGTACAAAGCATTCTGCTTGTCCAGTGGAATCAGCTCCTTGACCTGGTTGAGGTCCATGGTTCCCTGGAAGTGGAATGGCGCCTAAGGTGTCGAGCTTCAGCTGCTGCAGACTACAAGGGGGTCAAAGCAGACACAAAGAATTCCTGATGCAAATATAACTGAATCCAGCACCTTGTTGTCGGAACCCATGACATCATCCGGATTGGGGTGGTTGTACCAGACGCGGCGCGTCACATCATCAGGATGAGCACGGGCCAAGCCAGTGATGTAATCGCGGAAGGCGTGTTGCCGACCGTTTTCTGCTGCATGGAGCCACAGCACGGGCCGTTCAGATGCCTGGGCGCCGTTCTTTAAAGTCCCCAGCATGCTGAGCATAGGCGTGATCCCGACTCCTGCAAGGGTTCTGAGTCAAGTGCTAGTAGGAATGCTCACGTGTCACAGTTGGAGATTGGACCCGCTCCTGCACTAAGGAGAACTACTGGCGCATCCGCATCCTTGGTCCATAGCTCCTGCGCCCCTTCCACGCTGAAATTCCCAAAAGGCGGCGAGAGGTCGAATTCGTCACCCACTGCAGTGCGGTCGTGTAGGAAGGAAGAGACCAGCCCTTGGCTCTCCTTCTTTACTGCGATGGTGTAGTGGTCACTGCCAGGCTCGGAGATGAGACTGTAATGCCGTGGCTGTCGCTTCTCGGTGCCTGTCGGATACGTCCAAATGGTGGTGTACTGCCCTGGGCTGTAACTGCAGATGGGCTTCCCGTCCACCGGCTTGAACTTGAACTCCGTGACGACGCTGCTCCGCGACGTCTTCTCCACAAGGCTGAACTTCCGCATGCCGCGCCAGCCTCCGGCCTTGGACTCAGCCGCCTGGTACAACTCCTCCTCCCGCTTGACACAGTATCCCGCTAAGGCTCCGTAGAGCTCGGCCCATGCGTCCAAAACCTCCTGACCAGGGTTTAACATGTCTGTGATCGTTCCGAGGATATGTTCTCCCACGACGTCGTATTGGGCGGAGGTGACGTTCAGGGCGCAGTGTTTCTGGTTCACTCCCTCCATCAGCTCCACTGGAAGTGTGCCTTGCTCAAGCACAGATACTGCAGATGCCGCTACGGCAGAGAAGAGGGCCTTCTGCTGTCTCCCCTTAGCTTTGGCCAGGGTTAAGAAGGCCTAGTCTCACCTAAACCTCACCCGTATGTGAGTGTGGACCCTTTTTCTCTGAAGCCCACCTGGCTCTGATTTGCGAGGTTGAAAGTGTTCAACAACTCGGGGTGCGCTGCGAACATGCGCTTGTAGAAGTGGCTGGTGAAGCCCGTTCCAGCTTCTGCAACCAAGGGAAGGGTGTCCCTGACAACATCCAAAGTTTGGGATGTGAGGCCCCTGTGTTGGCGCCACACGCGTTGGAACTGGCGCGTGGCACGCAGGCCACGGTTCGTGAGCCCAATGACGCTTGGACCCAGCATGGGGTCTGACAAAGACCAGAGGGACACTGGGTGCTTGAACCAGCTCAAACTCCCGTGATCGCGATGGTTGCATATGTAACAGCACAAACCTCAAGCAAGCGTCTGCATGCAGAAATCCGACCGGCATGGTACTGTCCAAAACCCATCGAAATCAAGAAAGTTCAGCACAGCCACTGGGTCGGAAAATATTGGGGCTCAACATCCCACGAGGCTTGACAACTATGGGGAATGCAGGGCTGGGCGCTCGGGATGGCCCGTGCAATCCTTGCACCTCCCTTATTGACGCCCACCAGTCACATGTTAAACCATGCAACAGTGCATGCAGAAAGGCCACGTCGATTAATATCTACCCGACTTGGAGGGCCTGGGCTGTCGGCAGCCGCGCAGAACGAGGCGAGCAATCCTTGGGCATGTGAGGGACGGAGGGGGTGCGTCGTGAAGCTTTCGTTTGCAAGGGGTGTCGGCAATGCCGCGGCTCATCAGGGTTTAGGTTTAGAGCTGGACAAGGTCCAATGTATCTGTCTTCAAGGGCTGCCCTACAAAATGCACTTGGCAAAATCTTCGCGAAGATGAAGCATACATGCAGATTTTTGCAAAGTGTGGCGATAAAGTAGAGACGCGATTAAGCCTACATGCGGCAACGAGAACACCTGTATCCGAAAACGAGCTTAGCAGGCCAAGTTGCCTGGCACTGAGAGTCTGCGAAATCCTTCTCGAGTTTTCTGACCACCACCGAAGCAGCAATGCTCACCTTCGGTCACGGGGATGTCGTCTTTTAGCGGGAATGGACTCTTGATCTGCGTTACGTCTAGCGACGGCGGTTGACTCATACAGTACAAGCAGCATTTTCGTGCAGTGCTGCTCCAATCCTACTGCAGATAGACACATCAAGACACTCGCCCAATCCTGCTTGCACGCATGGAATACCAACTCCTTTTGAACACACATACTTTGCTTTCCTTCAACACCTCAACCCGAATATCAAGTCGAAAGGCGCTTGGATTTGCAAATACATCTTGCCATGCGTGGTCGTTCAGTGCAAGTTTTTCTGTACCCCCCCCCCCCGTGTGTGAGCAAAACCGGGTCTATTTGGAAGCTCCTTCTTATGTCTTTAATAAGGGAAATATACACTTACAAGTAATTATGAAAAGAAGAAGGCATCTTCCAAATAGACCTGGTCGGTCTTGTCCCAGAGACCCGGGGGCCTTTTTCAAAAAAATCAAAAAATGAAAAAATGAAAAAAATCAAAAAAATCCAGGGTGCTCCCACAGGGAGGATCAAGCGCTCCAGGCCGGAGACCCTCAGGGGAGGGGCGCCACGGCCAGGCATCGCCTCCCAGGGAACGGGGAATCCAGGAATTTTTTCGTTTTTTCGTTTTTTTGTTTTTTTGAATTTTTTGTCTGATTGAAAAAATAAAAAAAAATATGAAAATTTTTTTTAGTTTTTTTGATTTTTTGCCTTTTTCAAAAAAATCAAAAAATGAAAAAATGAAAAAAATCAAAAAAATCCAGGGTGCTCCCACAGGGAGGATCAAGCGCTCCAGGCCGGAGACCCTCAGGGGAGGGGCGCCACGGCCAGGCATCGCCTCCCAGGGACCGGGGGATCCAGGATTTTTTTCGTTTTTACGGTTTTTTGTTTTTTTGAATTTTTTGTCTGATTGAAAAAATGAAAAAAAAATGTTTAGTTTTTTTTTGATTTTTTTTGCCTTTTTCAAAAAAAGCAAAAAATGAAAAAATAAAAAAAATCAAAAAAATCCAGGGTGCTCCCACAGGGAGGATCAAGCGCTCCAGGCCGGAGACCCTCAGGGGAGGGGCGCCACGGCCAGGCATCGCCTCCCAGGGACCGAGGGGACCAGGATTTTTTTCGTTTTTTCGTTTTTTTGTTTTTTTGAATTTTTTGTCTGTTTGAAAAAATTAAAAAAAAGAAAAAAATTGTTTAGTTTTTTTTTGATTTTTTTGCCTTTTTCAAAAAAATCAAAAAATGAAAAAATGAAAAAATGAAAAAAATCAAAAAAATCCAGGGTGCTCCCACAGGGAGGATCAAGCGCTCCAGGCCGGAGACCCTCAGGGGAGGGGCGCCACGGCCAGGCATGGCCTCCCAGTGACCGGGGGGACCAGGATTTCTTGATGGTTTTAATTTTTTCGTTTTTTTGAGTTTTCTGAATTTTTTGTCTCTTTGAAAAAATTAAAAAAAAGAAAAAAATTCTTTAGTTTTTTTTTGATTTTTTTGCCTTTTTCAAAAAAATCAAAAAATGAAAAAATGAAAAAAATCAAAAAAATCCAGGGTGCTCCCACAGGGAGGATCAAGCGCTCCAGGCCGGAGACCCTCAGGGGAGGGGCGCCACGGCCAGGCATCGCCTCCCAGGGACCGAGGGGACCAGGATTTTTTTCGTTTTTTCGTTTTTTTGTTTTTTTGAATTTTTTGTCTGTTTGAAAAAAATAAAAAAAAGAAAAAAATTGTTTAGTTTTTTTTTGATTTTTCTGCCTTTTTCAAAAAAATCAAAAAATGAAAAAATTAAAAAAAATCAAAAAAAATCCAGGGTGCTCCCACAGGGAGGATCAAGCGCTCCAGGCCGGAGACCCTCAGGGGAGGGGCGCCACGGCCAGGCATCGCCTCCCAGGGACCGGGGGGACCAGGATTTTTTTTGATTTTTTTGCCTTTTTCAAAAAAAGCAAAAAATGAAAAAATGAAAAAAATCAAAAAAATCCAGGGTGCTCCCACAGGGAGGATCAAGCGCTCCAGGCCGGAGACCCTCAGGGGAGGGGCGCCACGGCCAGGCATCGCCTCCCAGGGACCGAGGGGACCAGGATTTTTGTCGTTTTTTCGTTTTTTTGAATTTTTTGTCTGTTTGAAAAAATTAAGAAAATGAAAAAAATTGTTTAGTTTTTTTTGATTTTTTTGCCTTTTTCAAAAAATCAAAAAATGAAAAAAATCCAGGGTGCTCCCACAGGGAGGATCAAGCGCTCCAGGCCGGAGACCCTCAGGCGAGGGGCGCCACGGCCAGGCATGGCCTACCAGGGACCGGGGGGACCAGTTTTTTTTTGATTTTGTTCGTTTTTTGCTCTTACCAATACTATTACTAGTACTGTTACTCTTACAATTACTATTACTACTCCTATCTTTATTATTGTTACTATTACTATGACTATCACTATCACTATCACTATCATTATCACTATTATTATTACTATTACTATTACTATTACTATTACTATTACTATTACTATTACTATTACTATTACTATTACTATTACTATTACTATTACTATTACTATTACTATTAATGTTACTGTTACTATTACTATTACTGTTACTACTACTACTACTACTATTACTATTGCTATTGCTATTGCTATTACTATTACTATTACTATTACTATTACTATTACTATTACTATTACTATTACTATTACTATTACTATTACTATTGCTATTGCTATTGCTATTGCTATTGCTATTGCTATTGCTATTTCTATTGCTATTGCTATTGCTATTGCTATTGCTATTGCTAGTGCTAGTGCTATTGCTATTGCTACTGCTATTGCTATTGCTATTGCTATTGCTGTTACTATTACTATTACTACTACTATTACTATTACTATTACTATTACTATTACTATTACTATTACTATTGCTATTACTACTACTACTACTACTACTACTACTACTACTACTACTACTACTACTACTACTAGTACTACTACTATTACTATTACTATTACTATTACTAGTACTAGTACTAATAATATGACTATTACTATGATTATGACTATTACTATTATTATTATTCTAGCTATGAATATTATACTACTAGTGCTGATATTATTACTACCACTGCTATTACTTTTACTATGACTATCACTGTTACTGTTATTATTACTATTATTCTTATTCTGACCCTTACCGTTATTATACTGTTACTACTATTATTGCTGTTGCGGTTATTGCTATTGCTATTACGATATTACACTTACTATCACTATTACTAGTACTGTTGCTAGTACTCTTACGATTATTATCTCTATCACGATTACTATTATTGTTTCTATTACCTGTACTCTACTTGTACGAGTACTATTACTGTCACCATTACTTTTATCATTATTCTTACTACTTTTGCTATTACTATTACTACTGCTATTACTATTACCATTTCTATGACTGTTACTCTTGCTTTTACTATTAGTGAAATTGCTACTGCTACTGCTGCTATTACTATGATTATTACCATTACTGACATTGCTACTGCTACTCCTCATCTTACTATGACTACTACTACTTCTACTACGACCTGTACGACTACTTCTACTACTACCACAACTGCTACAATGACCACTACCATTACCACTACGACCATGTCTACCACTACCACTACCACTACCATTACCGCGACCGCTGCCGCTACCACTACCACTGCCACTACCATAACCACTGCCACTACCACTACTACTACTGCCCCTACGATGACTAATGTTACTATTGCTATTACTACTTTCACTATTGTCACGATTAGCACCACTACCGCCAGCACCACCACTACTACTACCATCACTACTACTCCTACCATTACCACTACGACTATTAGTACTCCTACTTCACTAGCATTGATAACAATAGTAAGATGAATGTTGATGCGAAGTTGAATACCAATATGACTATTCTTTGTAGTATTGATAATATACTTTTAGGACATTATAATATTGCTACTAATACTAGCTCAAATACTAGGGTTAACAATAATTCTATCCTGAATGTTTGTATTGCTGCTATAACTACTTCTAATGCTCACTCACACTAATGTCTGGATTAATATTTGTAGTTGTTTTTAATTTGATTCTAACATTAATCTGAATACTAACACTGTCTCAAAGGTTAAGCTCGTATTAATACTAACGCGGATACTGATATGTATACGAATGCTGGTATTACTCTACCTACCCCTCGCTCGAATATTGTTACCAATATTCACGTTAATCTACCAATATGAATACTAACACTAACACCAGTGCTACAACAAATACACATATCATCACGAATCTCATACCCAGCACATACTCATATTCATACTCTTACTCATATACTTGTTCTGATTCAGTTTCATCCTGATATTTAGCTTAAAACGACAACTAACACTAACACTTATACTAATAATAGTATGAGACTAATGTCAACACTAACACGAACATTAACACGAATATTGTTCTTAATATAATGACAGATATTCATACGAATACTAATGCAAGTACTACCTATCTTACTAACATCAATAAGCATACTATTGTTAATATTAATACTGGAGCTAATACAACATGAGTATGATTACTAACTGCTAATGCTAGTGGTAATAGTACTACAAATAGCAAGTTAGGATTACTACTGTTTACTTGTACGATCTCTAGAACTATTTCGATTATGATTACTGACACTAAATCTGATAATAGCAATCATATTACCCTCAATACCTGGGCTATCTTACACATATATTAATGTTGCTACTAATATTAGTATTACGACTGTTACACTGGCTAAGATTATGACTGGTCATACTGAACCTCTTGTCTCAACTCATACAGCTGATGAATTTGAAAAGTCCTGATCGTAAGGGTTCATGTTTACAACTTTAGTTTTCTGTGTGCAACGAACCCTGGTGGCCCTACTCTTATCTAAACGCGAACCTCCCAACTCTCAAACCCTAAGCCTTCCCCCGGGGACCAGATTCTTCCTGTTGAAGGTATGGGGAGCGCCATCCTT